TTTTTTGATATCATACCAATCTTGTAGGGACTGACAATCAAATCAGTTTGTTTTTTAAATGTCGAATATAGGATATTTTATGGAAACTTGTATAAACCCACAACCAGTGCCGTCATATATTTATATATTTTATATTTTAAATGTTTTAGCTTTGTGTTACTTATTTGTTTTATGTTTTCCAAATTTTACATGTCACTTTATTTTCACGAGAAGTGTGTTCTTCGAGTAGATGCAAGCGACAAATCAAATTTTAAAATCACTTATGGAGTCGTTTTCCTCTTAAAGTGATAAAGATCTAAAACTATAATTTTGCTGTAATAATTTATTTCCGAAACTGTTATAAATCGACATTGAAAAGGTTTCATTTAAAAACTACAACAAAACCGACCATTTATTATCAAATATCTGACATGTCTCTGTATTATGTTAAGTCAATATCAATATACGGTCTCCATATTACCATTGACTAATAATATATTCTTGTACATACCAGGTTTTACTGATATGTAAAACCAAATTGTCAATGAAGATCGAAAAATGCACCTAAATAACTTATTATAATCAATGAACTTTGGACCAAGTCCAAAGTATTTCAAGAAAATAATACAATACACTGCGTGATCTCTAAAATTATTAAATGTGCAATTAAAACTACTGTAGACATAATTATAAGTTTCATTAGTCCATTTAAAATTTCTCATATAAAAGTGAGATAAAATTAAATGCCCTCTACTAAAGATCTTAATATGTTATATTTGATTTTAATGTTTGAGGGAAAGTGTAAACTTAGAATTTAGCGGTCAAGCAGTATGTAGGGCATAGACCGGTGCGCGGCTTTCCTCGCCCGCTGCTTACAGCTACGATCTTGGCCTCAAAGCCTGACCGGTTGCCTTCTTGGGTAGACCAACCGGTTTAACTGACTTCTTTGTAAGTAACAGTATACTCTCTAACACTAATATTAGCATTAATGCTCCCATTCGGAACGCATCGCCTGTGATATCAGCGGATGTGAGAATTTATCATACGGATGTTTGCAAAGTTTCTGAGAAATAATGATTTATGAGTAATAAATAATATTTGAGTCGGTTATTATCAACTTTCTCGGCTCTGTTAATCACAGCGCATGGGTGTATTGGCATCGTGGTGGCGCTGCGATGGCGGGCGTGACTCATTCACCCCGATCGGCGCGACAGTCATGCAGTTCGATCGCGCGACGAACTCTGAATCACTCTGCTGACTGACTGCACCGTGCCTGTACCACATTGCCATACTATTATGCACATATTCATGTCGCAGGTAACAGAATCGCCATTGTATGCTATTCACTATTGTGCAGCCGAACTTTTTAGGACCCCGTAGGCGATTGTAAACGCATTATTGTTACACGGTTCATATATGTCGGTTTATTTAGATTCGAACAATAACAGGATTCTAAGCCTACAGACGAGTTCCATTCGATTGGATATGTTTCTACATAGGCCATATAAATATTCATGTATTAAGTCATGTACTGACGATGTAACACATTGCGATGATAATTATACATATTAATTGCGTTTGACTATCTATATCTAAAGGTATGTCAATTTGATAAGTTTCGGTGTTAAGTACGTAGGTACCGCAGCAGCGGATTAAATAAACCGAATAGACTATATGAGTGGGTCGATTCAATACAATTGAATTAGGTATGTTATACACACGTAGTAAACGAAAGGTAAGAAAGGCTTAATAGATTGTGCATGATGCAAGTATATCGATATATCATTTATTTTTAATTTACAAATTAATTTTCATGTAATTTTAATTTGCAATTTCTAGTGCTAAGAATTTATAATGAAATATAATTTTATCTAAATATATGTCAAGTACTTACAGTATGTACCTGAGGTAAATATCAATACTAAGAAATATTTGACTAAATTATACCCTTTCTTAACTTATTGTAGTGTGTCATGAAGTAAACAGCTTTTTAGACATGTTAGTTGTTTTTGTACTGATTGAATTAGTCACACATAAATATATTTATTGTTTATATCATTACAGCTACCACTAGCGCCATCTGTTATCGTATAACAACATTGCGTGTAAGATTTAACGGTTCTGAGATAAGTTCCGAGATAAATTTGAATTTGAAAATGAAAAATACATTCCATAATTGTTAATTCTTTAATATTTATATTAATTGTTTTTTTTTCATACATGTTGTCGTAACGCCGTAATATGTAAGTAATTATTTTTAACTCCCTGAGCGTGACCTCGAAACTATAAAATTAGTGTTTGTTATCCTAATATTTAGTTAACATGATTGATGATGATAAAAATTATTTTAATACATGTGGTTGTTCAAGACCAGTGCAGTTTTTAATTTTACAGATATATTTGGCATTTGTCCAGGTATTTTTGATAGTTCGGATCTCAAGATTATGTAATTTACTATTTTCGTTCCAATAGATATAAGGTTAATGGCACCTTATTTTAGTCGTTGTAAATGATGTCATGAATGGGATTTTTGGTGACGGGTGTGGTCAAATAATGTGTAAAGGTCGGGATATGTTCCTAGCATCGTAACGTAGGTACCTACTACAAACTACAATATACTGAGATCGCCTTGATCGTTTAGCTTAAATAACTGTTCGATCTATCAGTAATTTAAGCTAATCATTAAAATAATGATTTTGTGATGTTGGTGTGACTCTAATTTTGACTATAATCCATTATATATATGAATTGACCTATTTTAGACACAAAATATAAATATAAGCATTTTGTATACTTTGCTGGCAACTTCGCTTAAGTGAAACCATTTTTTTATCTCTGAAACGTCAAAATTATCTGAACGAATTATGTTCCATGTCCTGGTCTGCGTTACTAACAACTTGTATGGTAAATTTCATGATGATCAGTTAAGTAATTAAGACGTTAGAGCGTAACCATCTCATTTATAATATTTCATAGGACGTAGTCTGGTACTGGCGTCATACATCCTTAATTTCACCTTCAATTTCCAGGAAGACCACACCTATATTAAACATCTTATTTATTATTAAACTCCTGATGACTAATTTTCTGAGTATTGGCAAAGTAGATGTAGGACAGTGATTTATCTCTATGCAAAAACGACGAATGCTTATTAAACGTGTGCGTCCCCGCACCGCGCACCCTAATGCTATGTTTACCTGTTTTTTTATGAGTATAGAACCACAATGGGCCATAACCAGCACCACAGCTTTGGTGGGGCCACGTACAAGAAACCCTTTAACTATACAATCTATTGACTTATCTACTTAAAGAGAACTACAAGGTTCTATGCCTTATCAGAACGTACCGATAACGAGCTTATTTTTATACAATTAAGGTGTAAAGCTACGGGAAGCCTAATAGTCATTACGGCGGGGAAAGAACAAGAGTGAGGAGAGCGTCCTATTTTTTTGTCCTCCTCCCTTTGGATTCCTTTTCCTGTTTTAACTTACTATTGAGTATGTTTTGTATTGCCAGTATTTACATCATTTGTAAATAAGACTTTTAACCATAAAAATTACCATGTGGCACTTTGTGTTAGTAAGTTTTAGCCATGTCACCCCAGATAAAGAGAAACAGTATTATAAACTACTCTAATCTGTTAAGCTAAAAGATCTTAAGTAAAACCGAGAAAATTTGAAATAACATTTCATTTTTACACGCTTTATATTAGCTTCACTTGTATGTTTGTTTGTTTGTAACCGACTCCTTTGGGCGTGATTTTTACTGACTTTAAACGGTCAGAATTCGTTCAAACTTTGTAGATATATCGAGGACTGATGACAATACACTAATTAAAAAAAAAATCGTTTTAAAAACTAAAAAACATGGTTTTTATAGAAAACCAAACTACTTATTAGTTTTTTAAAACTATTATTTTTAACAGTTACACTTTATCCTCCTAACCTCTTTTGTCTGTTTTGGTCTACCAATAAGAATAAAGTAACTCGAGTTATTATTTTTGTGAGAACAAAGCTTGTTCATACCCCAGGTAAGTACATCTACTTACCCAAGTAAGCAACCTGCAATAAAATCTTGGCAGACCTTAACTTCTGGAATGTTCTCGAGATAATGCTTCGCATTTAATATATGTATTTCGAAATTGTCACACTCCGCTGTGGTACATTGTGATTGCATTGATGAGGAATGAGGAACAAAACCATGAAATGTGAAAATAAAGAGTCTGAATCGGTTTGTATATAGTATCAAAGTTTGAGTTCAATCGGTGCAGAACTTTTTCGGTTTTTGAAGCGTACACAAACCAACTTAACATTTTTAGTATTATAATATAAGTATAGGTTTTAAATCCGACCGCTGTTCAAAATCAATGACCTGAATGAATAAACATTTATTTTACTAATAAACAGATAATTTACATCAAAAAGATACCTACTGCAAAATGATAACGTAAAAATAAAGCCAGTCCTTCCTTCCTTCCTTTCCTTTAAAAAACGGCAATTATCCGGACCTATTGGATAATTTATTTTAATTGTATAAGTACCTGCCTGAAAACCTGTTTGACCCATAGGAATACCCATTTATCTAATCGTTTTGTACGAGATACAATGGGATAAAGTACAAATCGCAATTCTGTTATGGACCGAAGGGCATTACAGCATATTTTGGATGCGCAATGGTTTTCTACATATGAGCTTTGTGGTGTTGTCTCAAAAAAGACAAAAGAAAATGCTAATGGATATTACTGGACCTGGTTGAAGAATCAAGAAGGAGAAATACAGGTGAAATATTTGTTAACGTTCTGTTCGTCAGATAGACAGTATTGTGTCGATTGGGTACCAGTCATAAGACTGGTACCCAATCGATAGCACATGTCTACAAGCAGTTGTATCCAACACAATAATTAACAATCTTTCCAGTTTGATTTCTAATTTTCTATAGATCTAAATAGAATATATGTAGTGTATTTTGTAATTACTAAGTTAATCAAGTTACAATTTTATAGCTTTAAAAAATGTACTCACCTTTTCTTATTAGTAAGCTGGTTACCCTGCGAAGCGCCTCTCTGGGGGATTTTTGAAAGAACTTGGGTGTCAAGTTAGGCGGCAATGTGAGGGGTTTGCGAGCACCAGTACTTCCTTCCCAAGGCACGGGGTTTTCTACCGCTACCTTTGATGACGCTGTTAGTCTGTCGAGATGTTCCGTAGAAGCCGGCCTGTCAAGTGAATAAGCAATGTAGACGAATCTAGTTTAAGCAATGTTAGTAGGGTTATAATAATATCAACCCCACACATCTCACATACGGCCGTTTGATCCTAAACTAGGCAGGCCTGTACTATGGTAACCAGACTACTGATAAATATTGTTACATATTTCTAAATACATACTTTTATAGATAAATTACACCCAGATTAAAGAACAAATGATAGTGCTCATCACACAATTATTTGCCCTATGTGTAATTGAACCTACGACCTCTGACTCAATAGTCAGCATCACTAACCACTAGACCAACAAGCCTGTGGATATTATTATTAATAATAATGGAATAACTGTCATCGTAACAGAGATGTAACATAATTGGTCAGTTATCCAGTACCTGGATAGATATACGTTATTACATAAATTTTAATGGAATTCTTTGTTGGCAAAATCATTATGATTAGTTTTGCATTTCTATAGAAGTAAATTCGTTTTTAATCTTTAAACTATAAAGTTAAGGTTTAACAAATAGGTAAATTATCATCTTAGTTTTGGTTTAAATTAAGAGAGTCAACGGATACGTAAATCGATTACGTGTATATAGAATAATCTGAAACAATCAGAGTCATAAGGAATCTATTTCTTGATAATTGAACTCGCATTAACACTACGTAGAAAAAATACAGTGTTCGAGTTTAGGCTACATGTCTAGTTTGTTAAAAAGCATTAGCATTAGCAGATAAGTAACAATACTCTATTTAGTGTCCTTTAGTGTCATATAGAAAGGAGAGTTAAAATAAATCATACGAATTTTCCTCTTTTGTTTAACCTTGGGTGCGATTCGCTTGTTACTTTGACTGTGATAAACACAACACAAAAAAAAGATTGTGTCTGTTACCAAACCTTTTGGGCTTTACCTGTCTAAAAACGCCATAGTACCATCTTTGGTATTGTTCTTGTTTAAGAGCACATGGTAGAATCGGATGACATTCAATTTTTTTTTTTTGAAAATCCACCGCCCGCACTAGGAACATATCGCTCCCGTAGTAATATAGGGGCACATCTCAAAAATCAGAGGTTTGGAGTTTTTGTAATAAACGGACACAAAATACACAATACTACAACTTGGCTTTGACAGAAAGAGACAACGGACAATATTTTAAGCATTTCGCATTACTTGTGTCTCTTTCACACTTCCCTCTTCTGACCCGCGTCTCCCCGCTAGAGGGGCCAATTCAGTAAGATGCCGATATCGTGTTGAAGCAGATGTGTTTAAGAGCGTCCTATTTCCAGTTGGGCCCTTCTATTACGAAACTTGAGGTAAGTTTTGTTTAGTTATATTTGTGCTATAAAGGCTAATTAAGATCAAATGCTTTGTATCACCAAAACTTAAAAAATTTTTAGGTTTTATTTTTAAAAAGTGCCTTATAATACTAAAATAATTCAATCATTTTCGGAACTATATCTAAACTAGTCTTGCTATTACAAAAACAACCGTTGGATTTGAAGTTTCATTAAGAATTAAATCCTTACAAAATTAAAATAATTATATATATTTTTTAATTGGGTCCGTAATTGCATGTACCTACTTGCGTTATCTACCTAAATCGTTGATGATGGTCCATGTTAGTATTTACAAACTACATCCCTTACTATGTATTGTATTTTGTTAATAATGTGTAATACGTTTAAATACATTACAGAAATATTTTAGAGAAAATCGAAGAATGAAGACGTCACGATCGCGGAAAATTATGGACCTGCTTAATACTTCAAGTCCAGCTGATGAACTGATAAACAATGCTGATAAGGACCAAAATGTAATTCTCTAATCTACTTCTAATCCACAACTCAATTACTAATGTAAGTACGTATTTATTACTCATTTACCTTTTTTTTTCAGGTAAATAGTGAAGAAAAAGAAAATATCCCACTAACTAAGTCAGATAACTTTTTAAACCATGAAATGGATAATAATATTCCGCAATCAATATCAATTCCTTTGATTGAGACTGATTTAGTATCTGTAACAGCATCAAAACGTACATTGAGATCATCTTCTAGTAGTTCCAGCTCATCTTCTAGCTCCGAAAGTAGTAGTTCTTCAAGTACATCATCTTCTAGTAGCAGTTCAACGTCCCGCAATTCTTCCCCGGAACGAAAACAATCTGTTCCGAAAATTCAAAATTTGAATGAAATTGAGGAGCAGCCTCAATCGTATCCGTCTCAAACTACTTCACCTTCAATTTTGACACTTCCAACTGTAGAATCTAAAAGTACACCGCGGGCCTCTGTTGTAGATTACCATATTTCACCTATTAATTCGGAAGAGAGTGATGCTGATCTTAGCGACAATGATCCCAACTATAAAGAACATGAAAATACTCGTAGACACGGTTCTCCGAGTTCATCTTCAAACTTATCAAATGATTCATCAGCAACGATCGCCATATTGCCTAATAATATAACCAGAAAACGTAAATCTAATCCAACCATGTGGAAGCAAAATAACCAAAAGATTAAACGAAATTTAGGGGAACAATACACTTCTGCGAAGACAAATAAACTAGTTCCTGCGCGAGAAATGAAGCCTCCGTGTAGTGAGAAATGCAGACTGAAGTGCAGCAACAAATTCGATGAATATAAAAGACTAGAAAATTTCAAATATTTCTGGGCACTAGGAGATCTGCAACAACAGCGTATGTTTATATCGTCAAGGATGGCCATCGTTCAGCCGAAATATAAATATACTAATGCTGAAAGACCCAGAGCACCAAACACTGCTTTCTATTTTTATGATAGTAATGACAAGGTTAAAGTTTGCAAAACTTTTTTTATCAACACGTTGGGAATAACAGCTAAAATGATTCGAACTGTAAGATATAAGGTAAGAGATGGCAATTTTATTGAAGAAGACAAAAGGGGCAAACATACCAACCATAAACATGTGGATGTAGAACTGAAGAAAGATATGGTTGAATTACATATACGTTACGTATACCACGGATTGAATCACATTATTTAAGGGCATCGACATCAAGAGAATACATAAGTGGATCTAAAAGTATTTCTGATTTGTTTAGAGATTTCCAAGAGCAGCAGAATAATAAATCTCGAGAGTCAGGAAAGTTTCATTTGTTTTATGAGATTTTCACTACCCAATTTAATTTAGGATTCTTTCAACCTAAAAAAGATCAATGTGATCTTTGTTTGCAATATAAAAACTCTACGGCTGATCAGAGGCTAGCCCTCAAACAAAAATATGATACTCACCTAGAAGAGAAAGCTTTAAGCAGGGAAGAGAAAAAGAGAGATCGGATGAATGTTGACGAGTTTAATTTATGCGTTTGCTACGATGTTCAAGCTATTATGCAAAGCCCTAATGGAGACACATCGTCGTTTTACTATAAATCCAAATTGAACAGCCAAAATTTTACTTTGACTGAATTGAATAAATTAAAAGAGAATAAATCTGACGAGGATTTCAAAAGTTATGGTGACGTGCATTGCTACTTCTGGGATGAAACACAGGGAAAAAGAGGTGCAGTGGAGATTGGAAGTTGCGTTTTGGATTATTTGAAGAATGTTTGTGAATATGCCGGCGATCGAGATATTAATGTTACATTTATAACTGATAATTGTTGTGGACAAAATAAAAATAAATACATAGCTTCATTATACATGTTTGCTACCACCAATATAAAAAACTTGCAGTCAATAACACACAAGTTCCTTATTAAAGGCCATACACAGAACGAAGCCGATAATGTTCACATGTTAATACAGAAGCAAATAGCAAAAGATTTAAAAGCTGGTCCAATTTATACACCACTTCAATACATGACAGCAATTCAGAGAGCCAGGAAAACGGGTAAACCTTTCATACTTCATACTCTGAATCATGACTTCTTTTATAACCTCAAAGATTTAAGATAAGTGGGGCTACAATTTTAACGTTGATGAAGATAAAAATACTGTAGCGTGGAATGACATTAAAGTAATGAAATTTACGAAAGGGAACCCATTTTCTTTTCAATACAAAACATCATACAAAGTCGATTTTAAACAAATAAACGTCAGAAATAAAAGAAAGAAAATGATGGAAGTCGAAGAAATATCAGTCAAGAAGGCTTATACCGCGCCATTTGAATTAAGTTTAAATAAATAAGAAACAGGATCTCAAAGAATTAGTTTCAAAGAAACTTATTGACCCTTATCATGCAACTTACTATAATAACATGTTGATGTAACTTTATTTTTAAATTTATATTTTGGTAGTTTTTATTTTATAAATATTTATATGACTATGTCAATGAAACTAAGTTAAGCTCTGAAGCTAGTTCCAAAAGATATGTAGATAATTAAACGTGACTGATTGCAAAGGCTGAGTATACTAAGTATTACCTAAATAGACAAAAGACGAAAGTTTTTTTTGAGACAATTATTATTATAGAAAAAAAATGTTTTTTTAAGAAGTTTATGTTTTGTTATTTTTTAATAAGAATATTTTAGTTTTGTTCTTGTAAGAGAATTAATGTACAAGACTTTTCAGCTGATTTTATTTTGATTTATGCTGTGATAAGATAATATTATGCCTAATATTACATTAAGAACGTTCTTGTGTTATTTAGAGTTTATACGTACTATATGAGACACATTTTTATTAAAGATTTTTTTTTGTATATAATTATTTTATTTATGTCGTGTTTATTTCTAATTAAAAAGGGACTTTCATCAGTAAAATATATAATAAATTTGTATTGTAAAGCATCATTTCGACTTAGAACTTTTTTAACTGGAATATATTTAATACTAAACAGGCTCAATCCATACATTGCCTTCAAAATTAGAAAAATTTTTATAAGAGAGGGGCCTAACTTGGGAGGGTTTTTTTAAAATGCTTTTTAAAATACTTGAATTATAAGTTTTATGATATTACGGTAATTTAATATTGAGTATGAATACTGTAGATTAGGTACCCAGTTTTTTTTTTTACTTATCTCTTCAATTTGAGAAGTTATAGGTAAATAAGTGAAAATCAAGAATTCGCGCAATCTTTAATCTCGTTTTCTCAAAAGTAAGGTTTTTTGAGATGTGCCCCTATAATAGTAAGGGTGCGATATCCTGGGTCATGGGGGACTTTACAAACATTTATGATACGGACATAACTATTTTATGAGCATTCTCTTATCTTGTCTTGCCTCAAATCTGTTTAATGTAGAATCTTAGTAAACAAAAAATATACTTAATAAAAAGTAATTTATTATTAACAACTTATTCAATTTATTTGCAGATAACGGTAACTATGTATTTTGTCTTAACGCAGTATTTGCCTACTTACCTACATTGCGTTGCTATATGAAAATTAGTCGTAAGTGTGTTACTGTTTAATGTGCGATCTTAGCTCTGCAATCTCAGCAATAAGTTGGAAAAATGAGCCGTTTTACAGTAATCGACAGAAGAGCTTTTGTTTATTGTGTGACCGCGGAGTTACCGTAGTCAGTAAATTAGTATTCACGATACTGACATTATTCTTATTACTTTAATACGAAGTAATCTCAAGTCAGAGGCTAAGGCACTGACTCAGTGACTTATTCATCAACAGAGCCTAAATAAATAACAACTACAACTGGGGTTACAACTTTCAAGTTAATAAAAGCGAAGCCGCAGGCAATAGCTAGTTTCTTATAAGCGTGTTGCCTGTAACAGATTGTCATAGAGAAGCACGGCAATTGTATAAAATACTTTGTAATTTATATTACTCTTTGTGTGTACAATACATATGTATCATTATTTATTTATTTATATTGTTATTGTATACACTTACCACATAACAAAAGATGAGTTACAAATAAGTAGAAATTTAGGGTAGTTATACAATGTACTACATTATCACGTGAAAATTTCAAAATTTCAACAAAAACATTTACACACAAATATACATCTATTCACATTAAACATACACAAATACGCATATCCATACATACGTACGCATACTCAAATAGTTTCAGGTTCGGCCAAAATCGAAACCAAAACTATCATTTTAAAATTGCGACTATACTGTAATGTAGTGTATTTTTTAGCCCTTTATCTGCTTATACCTACATACCACCTAAAACGACTATAATAAGGTGGGCACACGGCATCAATTCTAAATAAGAGAAAGTGTATTAAGGTAGGTAGATAAAAAATACGTAGCTAGCTACTAAATACTAGAAATTCACCTGTCTAAATTAACTAGGTACGGCGGCGTATGGCACACGGGTAGGCGGGAAAGGACGGTAAAAGGTATCTGACTAGGTCATTTGAACGGACGGTTAAAGTTAAGCAACAAGATTACACGTAGTTTAATTATTCATTAAGTTTCTTGGATGGTTAAAAATGGTAACATAGGGGTACAGAATGTTATTCAACTATCTACAAACAAAGAAATCAAAGGGTCGTATTACAAAATGATAATCAAAACTCCATAAAGCGTCGCTCAAGCGTTTCATACGGCCTAAGTTACATCTGAATCGAACACAATTTCTTTTATTTGTGACTAATACATAAATAAAACTCAACAAAACGAAGCTAATAATCGCCTTTGAGATAAAACAATGTTAGTTACAAGTAAAAATAAAACAAATACAAAATTATTTATGAAAACACACTACTAAGATGAGTTAGTCGTGGGAGAGCAATGCCTCGGCACATATAGACCAGGCTTGACCGGAGTGATTCCACGTCCTTAAAGAAAACCTGTGTTGAGTAGTTCTTTCGTTGCTTCTCATCGAAAGAGTGAGTGATAGAGGTTACCGGAGTCAAAAAACTCCCCTTTTCCCTGATTTTGGATTTAGGGACTGAAATGGCGGCAATGCACTGGTAGCTCTTAAGCTGCAGGTGTCCATGGGTGGTAGTTACTTACCATCCTATAAAAAAAAAAGCCATAAAAAACATAGAAAAAAGTTGGCACTGAACGGCGGCGAACTGACCCAGACCCGATGTCCACTAGTTAGCCGCAAAGTTAACCGAACGACGCACAACACTTTACGCACACTGAGTTTCGGCGAGTTTCGGCGCGAACACTGGCCGAAAACGAAACTTCGGTCGGTCAATAATTTATATGTATAAATATATACACAGACTTAAATATATACTATATCTAATGAAACCAACAGCATTTATAATGACAAAATAATCCTTCACTGGCTATTTAAAAACAGGCAAGGTTTAAATTTGTCGGATAGTCTCAGGCAAGTTGTTCCAAGGTCTTATTGCTTGCACAGTAAACTTTGGTGGAATGTTTTGGCATTTTTAGTTTTATTTTCCAATGAACCAGGTAGTTGCAATATATGTTGTGTAAGAACTGAACACGTTCTTTGGGATAAGAGGGCGTGTGAGGATAATGCAGAACACTGTTTAAAGAGAGAGAATATGAAGATTCCTGCGAAAGCGTATTGGTAGCCAATTGAGTTTAGAACGATGCTCTGAGATGTGATTATATTTGCGTAATCCAAATATGAATCTAATACAGAGGTTTTGGATTCGCTCAAGTTTATTCAGTTCGTCTTCAGCGAGATCCAGATACCTGACATCGGCATAGTCTAGGATGAGAAGAAGAAGAGATTGTGTGAGCGCAATTTTAGTTTCGGTGAGAAGCAAGTTCCGTAGCCTTTGCAGAGATCCTGCTGCTGCAATTAGTTAGCTGCTAACTTCTCCAATCTGAAGGCCCCAAGATCTATCCATAGAGGTATCTATCCATAGAGATTCCAAATTCCGTTTTTTCATAACAGTGAAAAAGTCAAACTTTTTTACTGTTATGAAAAAACGGAAGCTTTGCAGAAAATAACTGATATCTGCTGAATCTGGAGTAGTTTGTGAGTAAATTTGGAGATCGCCTGTATAAAGATGGTAGGAAGAAAGAAATTGATTTGTGATTGATTTAATAAAAACTGCAAAAAGTAACGGTGATAACACGCCGCCCCGAAGTACGCCCGCAGATGTTGTGCGCCTAGAGGAGTAAATATTTTCAATACCATCACGCTACTGGCAAATGATATAGATAAGTACGAAACTAGTCATTTGCCGATGGAGATATGTTAAGAGAGCACAATATACCTAATAAGACATCAAAATCCACAGTGTTCAAGGCGTTGCTGAAAACTAGCAAAGCAAAGACTGTTAGCTTGCCTTCGTCCATGCCCGCACTAACGTCTGTAATATGGACTAGAGCTGTGGTAGTGCTATGGCCTGGAAGTAAACCTGCGTGAACAGGATTAAGGAGACAGGTTCTTGAGAGAAATGAACTTTATTGTGTGTATTGGAGGAAAAAGGAAGGATAGATATGGGACGGTAATCTGAGAAGTAAGTCGGATTACATTTCTTGGGGAGAGGAATAATTTAAGTAATTTTCCATGCAGATGGAAAAGCTTTGACGGATATAGAATAGTTGAGAATATAACACATTACAGGTAGGATTGCATCCAGGATAGGAAGAACCATATTACGGCTGATGTTGTCGCTTCCTACGGTATTAGAAGTTATTGACATTTTTATAGGCCTCTCCTTTGAGAGTCGACTACTAAAGGCTTTTGATGGTGATGATTATGATGATATTATTATATTAACTTAACTATTATTATTAACAAACTCTCAAAAGAAATACATTTGCCAAGTTACCGCAACATTTTCCATTGATGCAACGCCCCTTTTTTTTTCCGTGCGGAAATCCCCTCGGATACCACCTGTCGGTGGCATGTCGGACTCGAACCGACTAAAACCGCACGCCGTTTCGGGTACTAATAGCCGGGGAACCAGGTATACAGTAGAAAGGAAGTCCCTGGTGCCCCGACATACCTCGGGTCATCTACAGACGAGTAGACGACCCCCCCCCCCTGATGCAACGCACCTATAAATATTTGAGCACATACAAAAATGTCGATCCCTTGTCATAGTGACAATTATTATTTGCATTTTCTAATCTAAATACATGACAATTCGAATAACTGTGTACCTATATGTTATCAATTCGAATACTGCGTATATATTGTGATTCGAAACCCTTATTTTATAATATTCTTTAATTTTAAGAGATCTCAGTTTTATTGTACTGACACAACGCCGTCGGCATCAAATGTTTGACATAAAGGAACATTTTGTATGGAAAAATAAAATTGCTACTTTTACTATTTTCTTCGTATTTTTTTCATATTTTCATTTCATACATCTTTCAAGTTCACTTCTTCCACAAATATTTCAAGACCAAAATAAGGCAAATCGGTCCAGCCAATCCCGAGTTGCAACTAACGACTAGCAATTCATTTTTATAAATAAATAAGATTGTGCACCTTACTAAAATAACATCTTTTTGTAGATTGTAGCTGTGTGATTCACAGAGACTCAAAAGAAAGGTCTTTATCTTTTTATTAAGTTTTGCAGATACCTGTCTCTTCATTTGAAGTTGCATAGATAATCTTATATTTGGTTTATTATTATAGTATAGTATTAGTATATAGTATATTATTTTTTTACTTTAGACGGTCTATCGCCATAAACTAATTTTGCCTGAATTTTATAGCAATTACAGTAATATTTACGCTTCTGATTGATCTTAACTTCATCTGTAATTTTGTTCTTTATAAGTCGAAGCTTCTTTTGGTAACTTGTACTTATATTGCTTTTTTAATGCCTTAGAAAATATTAGGGTTTTTAAGCAGTGGCGTAACTGATGTTCGGCTTGGCGGTGCTGTGCACCGGGGTCCCCAAGCTTAGGGGCGCCTCGGACCCTGACCAGCATACCTCGTATTGAATTAGCTCAAAATTCTCCCACCTTTCCATCTTTGGAATGTAAATAAAGTAAGTTGTAACATGATTCTGAGTAGCTTAGGTATGAGAAATTACAGTTTTAATTTCATTTTGAAAAGAAGTACCGTTTGGATTCCATTCAAAGTTGAGAAAATGAGAGTAGGGCCCCAGTTTTTTTGCCACCAGGGTCTTTGGTTATCTATCTACGCCTCTAGTTTTAAGTAAGATGTTGGTAACGAAGTGATCCAAAATTATATATATTTTTAACGGAACACTTTACGGTAAATTACTATTTTTACTTGAGATACATTATGACTGAATAAGATAGTTTAATGTTTTTTTTAAATATTTATTAACACTATATCATTAAAAGATCGCTGCAAGGTTAAAAATATTATAGCTAAGACTATTATAACACCATTATGGGTTCCAGGGTACCCGAGATGGCGTGCGGTTTTTAGTCGGTTCGCGTCCGACTAACCTAGGTGATTTCCGCACAAGGAAAAAAAACTAGAAACTATCTTTAATAAAATAGGAATTGCAGCTATTGCACTATTGCAGCTATTTCACCGACTCGAACCTACTTCGACCGACCGCCGAACCGACGATATCGTCGTGAAATTATATTTATTTAGCTTGAAGAACAACATTGTACTATTTAGTAACGGAGATCAATAAATACAATAAAATAGACAAATAAACTAATATGTACCGGTGTCTCTGTCTTGGGTACCAGCCTCTCGGAGGTCCACCGAGCCGAAGTAAGTCTGCTCCGGTGCAAACTCCGGCTGCACCCATCACGGATCCACGCCCGTAGCCGCCCAGGGTCACTGCACTCCCTGTATAATAAAAACGAACACATTATAGCAGAATATTACATGCGCATGATTGATCTATATAAACCCAATGGAGAAGATATTTGGCCTGTTCAAATGTGAGGTGAATAGCGATTTGAAAGTTTTCAATAAGTAACTATAAAGATCCTAATTCTAAGCTGTAAATTCAATATATATGTTACAAATTGATAAATACCAGTAATATGTGTAACCAGAATAGTTTCAATAACGTTCCGTTACCTGTTACGTGCAGCGCCTCTAGCGCTGCAAGTATCGAAATTATTAATCGTAATCTCAATAGTTGTGACTCTCGAACAATCTACAATCTACATAATAAAACCACCATTTAATTCTATGGCGCAACAATATTTATAGAACTACTAAATTAAAAAATAATAATTAAAATATGGCTTAACTTAGTTTAGAAAGCTCATTGCTGGTAACAACGTAGTTCAGGTTTAAATACACACACACAACTAGACACACACACAAACACAAACACACACACACACACGCACGCAAAATTAACAAAATATCTTGCTTCAATGTTTCTGTGTATATTCCACGTGATAATTGAAACAATTTATTGTATCATATCTTTGGGAAGGAACTGATCCCCGATATACAGATCACGCTAGTTTGGGAATCAGGGCTTGCACTTGAATTGTATACATCATTTGTTACAATAAAGAAATTATTATTATTAATACGAAAAAAAGGTAAAGGAAAAAGTAGGACTGTAGAAAATGTTATATTATATTATTATATTATATATTACATTTAACTATGATTTTTCCTGAATGAATAACCTAAAATGTTCTGAATAAGTTTAAAAATTTCATGTTATTAAGTCGGAAAATCCGTGTCTAAGAATACGGAATGTCACCCCTATTCATCCCGTGGTTGTCGTAAGAGTCGATTAAGAGATCAAACTACCCAGGACAACAGCACTGTAAAGAAGAAGTAAAACTTGAAACAAAGCCTATACCATCCCATCTGGCCAGCGTGGTAAAGTATGCCAAAATCTCCTTTCTAAAGAGAGGCCTAAAAGTTTTAATGATTGAAATAGCTTTCCTTAATGAGATCATTTCTGCAAATGAATGAATTGTGTTAGAAAGAGTACAAATAGTGAAATAGGATTCCTCTAGTTCTTTAACATAGATGCTTTAATATGCACTTATATCATGCTCGCTTTGCAGTTTGCAGTTAGTACCAAACATGTAACGTTTGCATATATATTTAAAAAGGTTGTAAACAGTGACATTGACAGTGTACACACATTTATATAATAAAGAATAGAAAAGATTTGATTGTAAATATGCTATTAATCGAATACACAAGGTACGTAGAACATCTACGACTTTAAATTACGATAATAATTAAGTTACTCACTGTGTAAATAAGTACACTTACACTGTATAAAACGTTTTAGATAACTGCAATTGAAACCTAGTCATAACAATGGTGTATATAATAACCTAGTAATGGTTTCCAAGCGAGAAAGCGTATTATTTCGGACAGGAAAAATACATATTGTTTATCTAATAATTTTGTGTAGGTATAATGTTACATATTTATGAACTTGTTAATAAGTATTGATATCAATACTAATATTACAAATGCGAAAGTGTGTCTGTCTGTATGTCTGTCATCACTTCATGCTTAAACCGCTGAACGGATTTAGATAAAATTTGGTATAGATATAGTTTGAGTACCGGGAAAGGACATAAGTTTTTATCCCAGGGGGGGGGGGGGTGTAAGTTTGTTGTTGGGTATCAATAACCGCTAAACCTATTTAAATGTGATTTAGCACGGCGATAGATTCATTCTTGAGGAAGGATATAGGGTACTTTTTACCGCGATAACCGACATACACGCAGAGACAAGCCGGCAAAAGTTAGTATTATATATGTATTATATTTTATCATTAAATACGTACATACATATAGTATGTGCGTATTTTTAGATAAGGTATTAACGGGATAACGGATCGTTTTAAGTGCGGTCGTAATAAGCAGTTTATTGTATTTGTTCTAGTTTTTTCTTCCTAAAAGGGAAGCGCATTTTTCTATTTGTGAAAGTGAAGGTAATAATCTATATAATTTAATTGACTATTCACCTATAGACTGCATTGATGTCATGGTGTTGTTTCTGGGAGGTCCAGTTGAGTTACGAGGTGGAGTGCGAGGCACGTCACAACCTCGAGCAAATACTGGTGTTTCAGGTAAACTTGCAGATGTCTGTAGTGGGCCACGACCTACAGCTGCTGCTGCTTCACGACTTTGGCGCTGCAGTGTTCGCCGTCGAGCACCACTTGCTCCTATATCTGTAATTCAAAAAAGGAATGTCAATGAAGACTTGCTAGTTTGAAGAGTGGAGAGTGGAGAAGTGAAAAGTATCCGTGTGGTGACGGATTAAGAATACAGTGTCACCACCCCTATTCATCCCGTGGGTGTCGTAAGAGCTGACTAAGGGAGAAAACTACGAAAAACAACAGCACTGCAGAGAAAAGGAAAACTTGACACAAACCCTTTTTTTTTTTTTTTAACGTGTGGAAATCCCCTCGGACCGTCACCCCTCCGGGGTTTGCGGCGGGGTGGTGTGTCGGACTCGGACCGACTAAAACCACACGGTGTGCCACTCTGCGCCTGTAACAGGAGGGATCCGGGAACAGCTGTTGTTAAGACATCCGGACCCCTCCTAGCGCCAGCCCGCTCCTGGTGCGGGCTCCGTCTCAATGTATTTTCCTCTCTTTAGGCGACGTCCGGCACACGCGGACGCCGCCCCCTCGCGGCTGGCCAACTAATGCGGGTGGAGGGGAAACCCACCCCGTCCACCCGCGGCCACACTCAGGGCAGCATGAGGCTGTGGTAGGCGGGCCTCCGCCGCCCGGTTCGCCGGCGGCGGATCGGGTCCGAGTGGAGGTCGTCCTCCCGGGCCCTCTCCGCCGCCTCCTTCCGCGAGATTACTACCTCGCAGAAGGTTGCGACCGCGGTAAAGCAACTGTCGCCACCGGCCATGGAGCGTACTACGGCCGGTAGCGAGAGATCCACTCCGATGACTGCAGTGAGGGCCCGGCGCTGCGCCGCCCATGCGGGGCAGACCGCCAGCGTGTGCTGGGCCGAGTCCTCACTGCAGTCGCAGTGGTGGCAGGCGGGACTCAGTTCCCTCCTAGCGACCGTGTGCAGGTACTTTCCGAAGCAACCGTGCCCGGAAAGCACCTGCGTCAGCCGGAAGGAAAGGGTCCCGTGCTGCCGCCCTGCCCACTCGGCGATGACCGGCTGGAGAGCCTCCACGGCGGCGAAGCCAGCGCGTGGAGTCTCCAGCCGGAACGACCAACGAGCCATCGTGGCTCGGCGAGCGGCTTCGCGCCACTCGCGCACATCCTCGGGCGGAGGGCGAAATCCGCTCTCCGCCCGGGAGTCAGCCACTCGCCGTTAAACTTCGGCGAGCACTTCCGCCTCCAAATCCCACGGGGGTGTTCCGGCCAACGCGCATGCCACCTCCGTCGAAACGGTGCGGTAACCGCGTATGGCTCTGACCGCCATTACCCTCTGAGGGCGCCAGAGGCGTACCCTATTCTGGGCGGTCAGAGCCGCCGCCCACACCGGTGCACCGTACAGTGCCATTGACCGGACAACCCCCGTGTACAGCCGTCTTGTCGCGACGCTGGGTCCACCCATATTGGGCAAGAGTCGCCCTAGGGCAGACGCAGCGCCGACCAGCTTTGGAGCAAGCTGTCGGAAGTGCTCGTCGAAGAGCCACCTCCCGTCGAGGATCAGGCCCAGATATTTCATCTAAGCCCGAACCGGTACGAGGACCGAGTTGACCACGATTGAGGCGCCAGGGGGTGGACCACAACGGGGCCCATGAAATAACAGGGCCTCCGTCTTATCCAGGGCCACCCGTAAGCCCAGCGCCTCAATGCGCCCGACCACCAGGGAGACTCCCCCTGTGGCCAGGCGCGCCGCCTCTTGGAAGTTTGCCCCCCGGGCTGTCACCAAGGTATCGTCTGCGTAACAGATTACACCCAGCCCGGGGGGGAAATCGGCGCGAAGGGCCCAGTCGTACCCTATGTTCCACAAGAGGGGTCCAAGAACAGACCCCTGTGGAACACCGCACGACATGGGCCGACACCTCAAATTACCTTCTCGGTCCTCGTACACGACGGTACGCTCCTCTAAATAGTCTGCCACTAGCCGCCTCAGGTACTTTGGCACCCCATGATAGTGGAGTGCTTCCCTGATGCAGCTGAATGGCAGACTATTGAATGCGTTGGCGATGTCCAATGACACCGCCAACAGCACGCCGCCACAGCTCACGGCCTCTTCGGTCACGGCCCTCAGGCGCAACACGGCGTCGACTGTCGAACGCCCCGCCCGAAAACCAAATTGGGCGTCCGACAGATCGGGGCCCACCTCGCAGAGGTGCCGGACGATGCGGGCAGAGAGAACCCGCTCAAACAATTTGCCCGCCTCGTCCAGCAGCACGATGGGCCTATAGGCCGCGACCGAATCGGCTGGCCGTCCCGGCTTCCTCAATAGGACCAGCTTCCCGCTTTTCCAGCACTCAGGGAAGCGTCCCGACGCCAAGCTAGCGTCGAACACCTCCCCGAGGCGGTCTGCCATGTGGTTGAGGGCCAGGGCCAGCACTCGGGCCGGTACCCCGTCTGGCCCAGGGGCGGTGTTCTTGGAACGGATCCGTAGAACAGCCGCCCCTACCTCCGAATCCCGGACGGGCGGAACATTATCCTCCCCGTGCTCCCCGTCGTCTCCGGCCAGGGAGGCCATCGACGGGGGAGTGTGTTCCGCCCGTTGTGGGAAAAGGCCCTCAACCACTTCTCGCAGGAAGCTGGGCTGGAGAGTCTCCGTAAGGGGGGGGCCCGACGCGCGGAGCTTTTGTCGCACCGCGCGGTAAGGGCGACCCCAGGGGTCACGATTAAGACCCTCCAGCATCTCCTGTCTCTTTTCTTCTTTGGCGCGGCTAATGGCCAGCTTCAGAGTTTTCCGCGCCCGTCGGTACTCCTCATGAAGCCGGTCCTCCTCACCGTCTCCACGGTGACGCCGCCGACTGCGCGTGTAGGACTTCCGGGCACTTGTACAGGCCGCACGGAGGTCCGCCAGCTCCTGGGACCACCAGTAGACCTCCTTCCTTAAACCCTATACCAACCCGTCTGGCCAGCGTGGTATAGTAGGCCAAAACCTCCTTTCTAAGGAGAGGCTATGTCCAGCAGTCGACTATTGAAGGCTGTTGATGTGATATAGATTTGCAGATAGAACGATTATAATATGTTTAATTATATATTTTTATTGCTAATGTTTTGAAGCAACCGCCGCCCATAGACTTCGGTAGGGGTAGTAGACATTTAAAATATTTATTAAATATAAAAATATCTTTGAAATGTTGTTTTCTTATTTTATCAAAACATCTCATGGCTTTAAATCCCTGTCTGGTGTGGGTCAGTATGGCAGGTGTCTAGACGACCTTTACCACTACTTACTAGCGACACTATACTTTCTGTCGTTACGGGAACTGTCGTTGTAATGACCGTTTTTGCTATCTTATCTGGCAATAACTATACCCACCAATATCAGTAATTTACAGCGCCATCTAGCAATATTTGCTTTACACACACACACTTTTTGCCTAGCACAACTTATCTGTTTAACAAGTTATCGTCTGCGGTATTTCCGAAACGATACGACCTTCAAACCTTCAAGAAAAGAGCGTTTTCATTCCTTCCTCCTTATGATTCCTCAGTTACAAGGCGTCCATCGTCGGCGGTAGTCACTGTCCATCAGGTAACCCGCCTGTACGTCTGCCCTGTCCCTCTTCCATAAAAAAAATAACACGAGTGCGATGTAACATACCTGTGGGCAAAGTGCGTCTATCTGTTGAACCACTTTTGAAATTAGTGCTGTTTCTCCTGTTTTTGTTGTAGCTGGTTTCCATTGACCGCGTCTTTAGACTATTTGTGGTATCGCGGTGCGGGGGCACGGCCGGGGCTTCCGAAGGCCTGAAAAATTTAATTATTATGTTTCAATACTGTTTTGTGCTAACTTGTAAATATAAATTTCCTCAAAAATGTTTTATTTGTAATATAGTACCTTCTTCTTGACTCCAATGTCGGTGTCGGCAGAGTATCAGCTTTCTTTAAATGTCTTAGCTCGGCATGTTGCACTATTTCTGTATATTCATCGTCTACTTCTTGAACAGGTGAAGGAGGCAGAGGAGGGAATTTGGGGGATTCCGGCGTTTGTGGCAAAGGCCCCATTTCATGAGTTAGGATAGGCGATGGAGGAAGTGGTGGATGTCTATATGAATGTTCTACTATCTGAACATTTAATGGAAAATCACCGCCGCTTGACACAGCTGAGTCTGATGAAGAGGGTTGTCGCATCAAGCTAACAGGTACGTCTTTAGCGCTTGTAGACTTGTGCATACTATTTGATCGTTTCGATCGATCACGTCTGTCAATCGATCGTTGGTTCTGTATTTCATTATGACTCGAAGATTTCTGAATATCATGTCTCTTTTGTCTCTCTCTAGAACTATACCGGAAATTGTATTCTAATATGTCTTTAGATACATCATCACAGTATTCATCCTTATGGATATTCCAGTCTTTAGGTATATAGGGGGTAAAATGTTTTTGGTCCCGTCCTTGACTTAATATAGCGCTAATATTGTTTTCGATTTTGCGAAGTGGTGAAGTATCACCACTGGAGCCAGGGTCGCCACTTTCCTGGTCCTCCTCCTCTTCGACAGTGGTAATAAGTGCTTGTCGACTAGCACTGTTGCCCTCACCGTCTGCTCCGAGGCTAGGTAAAGAAACTACTCTTACTATGTTAGGAGGCACAGTGGTAAGTTCATTAACAGTTTCGTTGCATTCAATCTGCGGTGCCTCCTCAACTTTGCCTTCTTTTATTAATGATTGAAAATTATCAAAAGTTGATGAATATTTCTTAAAATCCGTAAATCTATTTTGTGGCGATAGTTTATTCTGGGCTTTGGATGAATGTGCGTTTGTCTCACTATGTGTTTTTCTACTCTTAGGGCTATGACCAAAATATTCTTGGGAAATACACCTATCTTGGCCATTGTTGAGATCTAAACTAAGTCGTGATTTTGGTGACGTTATTTCTTTGCTCAGTCTGGAATTTGGTGTACAGAGATCTATACTATATCTAGAATTTGGAGTGTTGAGTTCACGACTTAGACGCGAGTTTAAGTCTACACTGTATCGAGATTGTGGCAAGCTTAAATCCGAGCTTGGTCTTGAGTTGTATGACCCAACCGATCCAGATCCACTGATTGATATGCTCGATCCATCTATCGACTTGTCTGTATCCACACTTCTATTCAAACTATTACTATGGATAATATTGCTGGTGGGTGATTTGCTGTTTGTATTTTTATTAAAGCTTGGTAGTTGTTTACGGCTTTTGCCTTTGCGAATGACGTATGTACCAGACGCTAGATCCTGCAACCGTCGCCCATCGGGCTCGACGTCGGAAGTCGGTGACGCAAGAGTCTCACAATGCGTCAGCGGTGGTGGTGGTGGCCAGTATTCATCGCCCCAATCGTCGTCTACTCTTTGCGGTATAGAACTTGTACTTGAATGCGATTGATCTCCAGATTTTCTTCTTCGTCGGCCAATTACCTGTAAGTATACAAAGAATAAGATTGTAAATATAGAAAAGAATATTCGGATCAGGAATTGTGATGCTTGAACTCGCTTCACTACTATATACATTGAAACAGTGGTCGGCCGGAGGTCGAAACTCTACTGAAAATAATAATTATTTATAAAATGACTAGCTGAGACCCGCGGTGTTACCCGCATTTGTTGTTATAACCGCGGGCAACGCCGCGGGGCGAAGCTAGTCTAAAAAAAGTAGCCTAAGTTACTCCTTATGTCATCAGCTATCTGACAGTGAAAGTGCCGTCGAAATCGGTCCAGCCGTTCCAGAGATTACCCGGAACAAACAGCACCCGGAACAACTTTTTTTTTTTTTCTTTTTTTTACAGACAGACAGACAAAAAGTGTAAAAAATGTTATTTTGGCATATGTACCGTGTAAACATACATATGCATTTAGTAAAAAGCTGTTATTTTAATATTACAAACAGACACTCCAATTTTATTTATTTGTATAGATGTATAGAGTATGGACAAAACATTGAAGTTCGTCTTAAGCTACTAAATAAGAAAAAAGGAAATGGGTTCCCAAACAGAAACAAAAATACTAAACTATTTTGTTTTTAATTATTTGTAATTTATATACATGTCGTCACACATGTTTAATCACTCACAAACACACACACTTTTAATGGTTCTTCAAAGACTAAATAAAAGGTATTTAATTAAGGAACCAATTTAAAATTGTGTATCATCATCATCATCAACAGCCTTTACTAGTCCACTGCTGAACGCCTCTCTTTAGAAATTGTGTATGTGTATTTTAAAATCTAATGTTTTATGTAGTTTAATCATTTATAGCAAGTCCTTATAGCATTGCAAATAAAGATACAAGTATGTGTTTGTTTATGCTACAAATTGCAGCATAACTCATTATAGAAATAAAAACTGACCTTTGTGCTGCCTGGGGTAAGCAAAGGATCATCACCATCAAGTGAAACTTCCCAAGCTATCGAATTTCGTTTCGAAGGTGTTGTAACTGCTGGTGGCGGCGGAGGAAATGCGTCCTCAAGCGAATCGTCCGAAAAATGTTCTTCGTCGTTACTTTTACTCGAACTTCTTCTCTTGCCATGCCCCACCACATCCTCCGAAGAACCTCTACACACTTCTCTATGTCTCTCCATAGAACCAGCGAGAGTTCGCGGAGGTAATTTACCTTTTGGCGACAACAATTCTCCATCCGATCTACTATCGCGTTTCATACTAGCCTTCTTCTCTGAATTTTTAGTATTAGATGGTGAAACTTTTTGTAAATTGTATGTAGGTGAATGCAATTGCTTATTGTACTGTATATTTGGGCCCGGGTATATAGTGACTGGGTGTTCATTGTATGGTTTGTCTGTAAACTCTGATGAAAACCCCATGAAAGGAAACATCGGTGGGTTTTCTATACTCGGTGACTTTTTTAGGTTGGAAGGTGGTGTATGTTGTCGCGGCGGTAGCCAAGTTGGGGCGGTGTCGGGTTGTGGCGGACGAGCTCCATGTTGCAGTGATGCGAACCTGTACGGAGGTACCGGGGGTTGCTGGAGTTGGAAATTGTTTTTTTCGTTATCTTTATCCCAACCATAAGGACGCTGATGCCTTGTTTTTGGCTGAAATTAATGGTTGCAGTCTATTAGTTAGGTCCTGTAACTGTAGGATTAAAAAGAAAAATAGTAAACAGTGGGTTTGTAGGTCAAGTTTTTACAGAATAACTACGTGGTAATATCTATATAATCACTAACTCGGAGTTTTATTTATAAAGAGCAAGTGGTTATATACTCCATAGACTTGTTTGGCCAGCTAGTCAAATGAAAGAAAATGGTGCTAATTCTGTTGCTCAAAAACTCTCTAAACTAAACTAAAAATCACTAAAAATTTTAACTAAAAATTTAGTCCTGTCAAATAACGTTTTGGTATTCTGAAAACGTAGGTAATACTTGATAGGACTAAACTAATTTTTAGTGATTTTTAGTTTAGTTTAGAGAGTTTTCGAACAACAGAATTAGTACCAATATGTTTTATATACTCGTATTCAATACACTTGTTTCCGAGCTTGCGCCTTAGCTGAATTAAAATTCCATAAAATACGCAGCAGTAATTAAACCGGAAGAAATGCGTAAAAAACGAAACCTTTTGCGTATTTCAAAAGTTTAAACTAATCGAGAAAGGTAATCAAAATTTTTTAAAGTTCTCAAACGTTTAAATTGTTTCAAAGCACTGCAGTTTTCTGTTGCAGAGCACAGGCACGTAACATAGCACATGACTTAACGTAAATTATGTTAAAACTTTAAGTCATGTGTGATTTATTAAACGTATAATTATGTAACATACTGACGTATTAATATAGGATCTAATCCAAAATATTTAGATGTTTGTTCAATATTAATTTATAGTTCATTAAATACTTTATATAAAATTCTAAACAATATCATTGAAAAATGACTGACTTCAGTCTGATTAGACTAAATAATATTATTTTTATGTATTTCTAGTTCTATGTATTAATATTATTTTTCCGATATATTCAGTAGTATGGACAATAAATCACCTTTAGGGAGTTACTACCTAGGTGCCTAGTGTCATTTAACTTCGTTAAAAACATTTTCACTGGGATACTAACGAAAGTAGTTTGTGTAGCTGTCGTGATTCCATTTACACTGATGATGGAGTCCAATCGCTCTTCTGCTTCACGCTGCTCTACTGACGTTGTTCGCTTCGCTGAATTCGCTGGCGATACTCTGGAAAGAGTACAAAGTAGCATTGTATCACTATAGACCTCCTACCTTTAACCTCATAACAGTTATTTTTTATAAACTTCATTATGTACTAATTATTCATAATCTAAATCAAATTCTAAATTATCTATTATACCAGTGTAAAGGCACAAGGTACTCTGATACTAGATATTGCCTTCAACTATCAGTAGATTTTTTTTTATACGTTAGAATTCACTGTATTCTAGGTACTGCTTAATGGCTTAACAACGGTCTAATATTCTATTAAACAAAAGTATTCAGATAGTGATAGACTCGCGCAAGTTCATAATTTTAGTCTGTCGTAATATGTTTGTTACAACCAATCATATGAGAAGACTGTTGGCGATAATAATCCTCACATATCGATTTGTCGATCGAATCATAACTTATTTAATGTGTAAATTTTAATTTTAGTGTCGTCGGCACTATCCAATAATCTAGTTTGAAACCGTTTAGTTTCAAACTTGTCCCAAAATTTATGGAGAGTAAAACAAAACTTAATGTGTTTTTTTTATGGAATACTAGGGCAAACACGCAGACGGGTCACCTGATGGAACATAATTACCGCCAACCATGGATAGGAGCAACTAAAAAAATCCCCTTTGAATCCTTCCCTAGAGTCAGGGGGAGGAGGGGTTCCTTTCTAGGGTACAACTGGTTCCCCGGCTACTGGTACCCGAGACGGCGTGCGGTTTTTGGTAGGATCGAGTCCGACATAACCACCGGTGGGTATTATCCGAGGGGATTTCCGCACAGAAAAAAAGGGGGGAGGAGGGGTTTGGGCTCCGGTAACCTCACTCACTCGTTGAAAAGCATAGAAAAGAACTGTTTAACACAGGTTTTCTGTATTAAGCAGTTTTTTCGTTGCATCGCTCCGGTCAAGACTATTTATGCCGAAAAATGGCTCTTGTACGGTAGTTAACTGAAATCATCTTTTTATTTTAATCCTTTATGCACAAACGAGATTTATACAATGGCGGACTTAATACCACGCTCATTTTCTCCAAGTCTACTTTAGGGCGTTGCCGAAATGTGTAACCAGGTGCACTAGAAATTAATGTTTTTAAAAGAAAGAGAAATAATTGAGAAGTTAGACAGAAACAATGGAATAAATATACATACATACGTACTATATACATACACATACATCTATACTACACATTACAGTTAGATAGAAATAACTTCGAGGACGAGGTGGTCAGAAGAATTCAGTTGGGTTGGGCAGCATTTGGGAAGCTACGCCGAGTCTTCTCATCGTCGATCCCACAGTGTAGCGTAGCCGTAGTCCGGTAACTAGCAAGCTGAAGTGGCAGTGGGCTGGCCATATTAGCGTCTCGGCAAACGTAGTGTAGGACGCCGACAGGCCAGGTGAAGTGGCGATTTGCGCAAGATGAATGATCATGATACATATATACTTGCTAAGTTACATATATACATAAACTTATACATAAATAATATTTAACGTTGTGATGAATCTGCTAGGGTGTCCACATTGTGAGCTCGAACGTCTTGAATGAGAGGCGGCTGGGTTCTATCCTGATTTCCAGAAGGAGAGCGTTCCAGAGGAGGACAGATTGGATTAGGAACGAGGAGTTTATTATTAGTCAAATTTATGAATATAATTTATAATAGGTAATTGTATTTACTTTGGCAGTAGTGTAGAGATGATTCTTTCTGCTTCCTCAGGCGGCGGTGGCGAATGAGGTGATGGCGGATCCGGGGGCGAAGGCTCTTCGCGTTCCTCTGTTGGACGGAAACCCAAAGCGAATTTCGCTCTGGAACAGTAAACAACGACCCTTAATAAATTACGGTAGTAATACATCCGGTCAATGACACTTATCATCATTGTTATCGGTTTTAATATTACGACTTTTGGTAAACTCATCGATTTTATTTTGTCAATATGTAATGTATTATCTAGCATAATGCACTTCTTTATATAGAGCTCCTACCTCCAAGAGACCACAACGAGAGACTTTGAGAATATAAATATAAAAACACCCCGCTCGTGACGTTTAATTCGTCTGTGTGACAATAACTAAAACGATCATCAAGGGGCAGCTTATGTGATTTATAAGAAATAGTTTCCAACCGTAAAATGGCTCCTAAAATTATATGACACTGTGTCACATCTTGTGTCAAATGTTATTATTCAGTTCCGTCCTAATTATTACAAGACCTACGTAATGAATTCGGGACGAGGCATTTAAGTTCCTTAAGCAACAACTCAGTGTAAAGGGTTGTCTTCTTCTAGAATAGATATGTACTAAAATGCGTTAACGAAACAAAGTATCTGTAAATTACATTAGAACGACATTATGCATATTAAGAAGTAGTTCAAAGAATGAAAATATCTATTCTAAAAGTTACTATGTAATGTACATAGTTCGCGTCAAGTGATGGTTGACAGTTACCGACAAATACATTTGATACATACAGAATTGCTAGTTACATATTACGTTCTTTTTTAACTAAGGAGCTAAAGAGCTCGTTATTAATACAAAATGCTGTCATTTTTTATTTTTTTTATTGATAGGGTATAATTAGGTATACTTATATAACATATTTTTATTTATCAAAACCTTTTTTTTTTAATTTCTTTGCAGTCGTTATTTAATTAAAAACTTATTCTATTATTAACGAATCACGTGAAAATTTCAATTAGGTAATAATAGGACCAACCTCCTGCCGTTCATGCTCATGTAGCCATCGTCTTCGGAGGTGTGTCCAGCAAGTGGCGAATCGTCGTCAGTTGCGGGGGTGGCCGGTGTGGCTGGGGTTGCCGGTGTAGCCGGCGTGGGTGGCGCACGCGCCTCCAATGACCGAGGTTCTCCCTCGTCGTATTCGCTCAACACCTGATCCAACAACTCCAACGAACGCTGTACATCGTCGCACCCGCTGGAAATAAGAATGAGAAACATTAAAGTATAACTAATAAACAATCTAAAGGAAGCATTTGTTTAATCACATGTATTCTACATATTACATTGGTCTCTTTTTAATGATTGGGAAAGTTAGATTATTGCCAAATTTTAATGATAAATGAAACAATATAATAATAATAATATTCTACCACATTCACACAACGCCATTTAGTCCCAAACTAAGCAGAGCTTGTACTATGGGTACGAGACAACTGATATAAATACTTATTTATTTTTTTGTAAATATTTACATATTATACATACCAAATCAATATGAATAATTTGGTCGATCGAAAGGTTCAGTTGCACGTAGAAACTCACGACTTACAAGCGCAAATTTATGTCATGGTGCCTGTTGCTTTTATATCGTACATGCATTAACAGATAATTTAAAAAATAGGTAAGACCCTTTCTAAAGCGCAGTAGTCAATAAAAATCGAACTGAATAACTACATTACATAGGAGAGTGAACCCAATTTGCAACCGTGCAATTTCCGTGATGGTTTTCTAGTTGGGTTGTCATACTAAATAAATCAGTATAATAAGCAGCGGCGACCGAGGTCGTACCAGCCAATTCGCCGAGATAATGGTAAATTGAACTCATTTCCTTCACGAGCTACAGAATCGCCTCTTGCCTGTGCCCTCAATACACCATTAGAACCGTATTAACCAAACCCAATATTCTTATATCTTTGTATCAATCAACTGTGACAACATAGTAGAGTATTTTGCTCTATGAATGCATTTATTCAAATAAAAAAATAGAACAGAAAGATATTTTTAACTATAGAAATTATATTTATAATTAATTACTTTAAAAAACTAAATACATTGAATATTTGATTGTAATATTTTGAATGTAATATTATTGTCCCGTGTGTCTTATTTAAATTTTACCACGGGCAACAGTGTTTTTTTAAGGCAGGAAGGACCAACTTACCCAGGATAAGCATTTTTATGATATCTATTCTTTTTCCATAAATGCCAATATTCAGGTATGGGTGTAGGATATTTTGTAATATAACTCTCATCAATAAGGATAGTAACTCAGTTTAGATTCGGCAACATAATTTACGCTTTTACTGCTATTATGACTAATGAGCAAAAAGATGCGAAACACCAATTATTCACGCGCGGAAAATGTAACTTTCAAATGCATTTTAATGCAACTAATTCACTTATTAACAATTTAAATTAATTAAATTCATAAAATGTTGTTTGTTTACTACTGTTTTACTTTAATATTGTTTTACTTAAATATTATTTTACTTTAATAGACGCACCAAGAAAGAATATTGTCTCAGTTTTATCTAACATTAGAGTATCATCAAGTATATTCTATTTGCACTAGCAATGAAAATCTTTTTATTTGAAGAGTCACAATTTGTACTGACATTTACTTTAGGTGGGTGCTTTTATTTTATCCCTTACTCGCCTATTTTTCTAAGCTGTCTAAAGGTCAAGGCAAGTTGCGAAAACGACCTACCTTGGGACGTGAGCTATAAGAATTGTTTTGTATTAAATTATATCTTTATGTCACCTGATAACTTTCAGCCAAATTATTATTTAAAAGGCCGTATCAACGGCGTAGGAAAGTGCTCCTAGTTGGAAGCACAAAGCAACCCTTTCGACAGTAGAGTGCTCTTTCACCATCTCTCGATAAGCCCTCGCCGAGTGCCGGGGACGAGGCATGCTCTTATTGTACAATAACCTGCACTATATTATTTAAAATACATGTATCTTTGTTGGAAATTTTCCATCACAGTTTGTTTGCCAAAATATGAAAAAATTATAAACATTTTGTAAACTGATAAAATGTGAAATCAGAAAGTGATCAGCATCAAATTTATTTAGGTAAACATTCAGTTTCATTCAGAAATTTAAAAGCTTTCGAGATAAAGTGACTGAAGCAGGCCTGAGGCAGGTTTTTGCAGAATACTTGTTATGAATTCTTGACACGGAAAATCCAATATTTCGTAAAATCACCGCTATCTCGATAGGCTTGTCTCCGCCGGCAATCTTTGTCCTCAATAGAGAGGTTCATTAGTGTTCACCTCACTAATGATCTCCTTTGCACAGTCGACCAAAAGGACACCAACAATCAAGTAGACTTAATTACATTTTAAAACAACTTGTTAGTTGAATGTTCAAGCGGCGGTAGGGTTTTGGCAACAACGTCGGACTTGCGATTGTGTTGTTCGAAGCAGCATTCGAACCCCGTGCAGTGCAGTACAGACGTGAATGGATAACATATTAATTTTGCTTAGCTGGCTGGTTTAACAAGAAAATTAGGAATGTGTTTCGGTTACTGTTATTTTTTGTGTCTTTTTTAATTTATAATAAATTTAATTAAATATTTAACGTATACCGTACTTACATTACAAATGCGAAAGTCAGTTTGTTTGTTGGTTACGCTTTCACGCCTAAACCATTAAACCGATTTTAAAATTTATAAATGTTATCAGCGAGTAACATAGGTTACGGCGATAACCGACATACACGCGGGGAACAGCCACGATTAAAAGTTAGTATTATATAACACAACTTAAACATCGAACAGGAGTAATCTACAGATTGTCAAAAATATATTTGCATTTTGTCAAACATGCAGTGCACTCCTTTTTTATCTCTGTCTCTAGTATTTGTATCGCCATTCGCTACCACGATAACTGTTCTTCCAGTTGATGGTTATCAGTAACAGAATAAATCGACTGTCGGTAGCAAATACATGCAAACGTAGAGCATAAATTTTATACAATATCGGTCTCGGTTGGGTTCCGCATTCGACGCGTGAAAGCCTACTTGCCCCGATGTTCAGTAGACTTACGACTTGCTGGTGTGCCTGTAGGTATCGCGTATTGCATTGTATCGCTCAGGCTGCCACAAAGCAGAGCACTCAGCATGAGTGCCGCGCAGAGCCTTTGTTTTATTTCACCCGCACTCCTGCGTTTTCGAAGGTTTTAAGGGGAACTTCAAATTATGTTTCTCCTTTTAACTAGATCTGGTTAGCGTTGATTAGTTGCATGAAGTCAGTAGTTTGTAATTTATTTTACTCATAGTTACGTTGTTTTAATTCTTTAAAGTTTCATCTCTGCTGTTGTAAATCAGTATGTATGATCCATATATATCTTCCAATACATTAATCTAATTAATGTATTGGAAGATTTCAAGGTGAGACGTATGTGTGACGAAGATTTCTTAAAGGTAAGGTTAAGTCTTAATATGCCAAGGCAGGTAATGTTTATGCGGAAATGAGTGCAGCGAAGTGGAAGTGCAAAGCAACCCCGTAGCGTTCCCCCCGCGGCAGTATCGCGGATCACGGCATCCTAGGGCGTCGACCCCGCGTTTGTGCGCCGTTCCATGCTTCACACAATATCAACTCAATGACGTCGGCCTGTCGACAACTGAGATCCATTTTGGAAAATATCTCAAAGATCAATGAAACCTGAATGTGCTGACTACGAATCAACATTATCAATCATTTCTTTTTCTCAACTTTATTACTGTAAGCATATCGGAGTCGGTCTTAGTCTAACCCTATTTCGGCTGAATGATGTTGATTGATGTTGCAAACATGCACACAAGACTACACCATTTTTTTACATTCCCTTTGACACAGAACAATCGTTTTCGTTTTTTGGAATGTTACAACAAGGCAGCGAAAAATAAATAATAAATATTTATTTATTTATTTATTAGGGATAACAAACAATAGTACAATATTCAATAATAATTAATATTTTTTTTAGGTACAAATGTGCTAATTGTACTACCAACAGCATTATTCACTTTTTACTATACACAATGTTATAATAAAATGGAGCATGCTACGTGATAATATTTATAATATAATTTTATATAATATTTTTTTTTACATATAAATTATTACAACTTGTATTTGCACAACAAAAATGTAGACACACGATGTATGACTAAATTAGACATAAATTAAATTAAAATGGTAAATAATTACGGAAATTCAGAAACCAACCCGGAAGCAGTCATATCATTCAAGCACTCTAGTACAATTTTTTTATATTTGATTGCTGAATGCATGAAGATATCCGTACTGTTAAAATAGGTATTGTAATTGTCTACAAGCCGTCGCAGAGGTGTTCTTAAGCCTGCATTTGTTTTAGGGACCTGGTAAGGCGTAATCGCTAAGAGACGATGTGAGCGAACCTGCCTTCGCATGACTGTTCTGGGAACGATGTAACATAATCTATTTGATAATTCCAGACAGTCATACTTGTTATGAACAATGCCATGTAAGAACATAGTTCCAAGAAGGAGTCTCCTGCTTTCCAAGGTAGACAAATTATATTTCAGGAGTAGACAATCATATGCCTGATAGCCATGGCAACATCTGTAATGAAGCGTCCGCAAGAATTTTTTTTGGACATTTTCCAATGCCCCGATGTATTTATTGTAAAACGGATTCCAGATCATGGTAGCAAACTCGAGACAAGATCTTACTAGCGTTATATAAAGGTATCTACAAGTATTTGGGTTTTTAAATTCTTTAGTGTTCCGTATAACAAATTCGAGCATTCTATATGCAGCCTTAATGATATTTTCGATATGAATGTCAAAATGCAATTTAGAATCTATAACAACACCAAGGTCTCTAAGCGAAGATACTTTAATCAAAGGTTGGTCATTTAAGACATAAGTGCAGTTGAATACCTTTTTATTTTTTGTGAAGGATATAGCATTACATTTAGGCAAGCTTAGGAAAAGTTTATTTTCACTACAATATTTTGCCAGCCGATTTAAATCACTTTGGAAAAGCTGGCAGTCATTAAGATCATTGATAGTTTTATAGATTTTGAGGTCATCTGCGTATAACAAAAATTTAGAATGAAAGAAACAAGTGTCAATATCGTTAATAAATAGAACAAATAATAAAGGACCTAAAATAGAGCCCTGAGGAACTCCAGATGTTACGAAAATTTGGTCCGAATGAAATCCATTAATAACTACTTTTTGTGTACGGTTGGTTATATAGGAAATAAACCATCTTAAAAGATCTCCACGAATGCCATTAAAAGCTATTTTGTTTAATAGCAGCTCATGGTCCACCTTATCGAATGCCTTTTGGAAGTCAGTATACACTGCGTCAGTTTGACAACGATTGTCCATATTTTCAAAAAGGTAGCTTACAAAATTAATTAGATTGGTAGCTGTTGATCTATTTTTAACAAAGCCATGTTGCTGTTTGATAATGATCTTATGCAAGACTGGATAAATTTCGTTGTGAATCAATCTTTCAAAAAACTTCGACAGAGCGGACAAAATAGAGATTGGGCGATAATTCTCTACGACATTCTTACATCCTTTCTTGAAAACCGGTGTCAAGTTTGCCTCTTTCCAGATAGCTGGTAATTGGCCTTCCTTTAGACACTTGCGGAATAATAGATGAATTGGTAAATAAATATGATCAGCAACATTTTTTAGAAACGATGCTGGTAGTCCATCAGGACCTGGTCCCTTTGTCGGATCCAATAACTTCAGCTCCTCACGAACCTTGGAGGCATCAAAATCGATATCAGAGATTATTTCACAGTTAACATTATAATCCAGTGGTGGAACCCACATATCTAAATCCAATGCTGATGGTTCATAGACAGATTTAAAATATTGACAGAAAAGCTGACATATTTCATGAGGGTCACTACTAGAAATATTATTATAACACATGTTATGAGGAATTCCCGAATTGTTCTGCTTATTAGCAATGTAACTCCAGAAATATTTAGGGTTCAGATGGATACTTTGTTCAACATTATCAAGATAGTTAGCATAGCATAGAGCGCATTCCTTACGGAAGCGACGGCGATATAGGGAAAATTGCTCGTAGTCAGAGAGATTTTGATACTTTTTCCATTTGATCCAAGTTCGAGATTTGCTTTTGAATAATTTAATAAGGGGTTGACTGAACTAAGTAGGAAAAGTAGAGTTTTTACAGTTAATTCGAGGTACATGTTGCTTGATAACACCAAAAAGATGGTCGTAGAATGTATTTATAGCTTCTTGAGCCTTTAAATTACGGAGGATGTCATTCCAGTTTATCACAGATAATTCATTTTTGATCGAATCGTAATCGGCTTTTTTATAATTTAATTTAATAATCGGGCAACGTTGCATATGAGAGAATTTCAAGTAAGGAAAAATCATAGCAGTGAAAGGAGGGTGATAGGAATCTATAGGGACTAAACAGTCGGCTGCTTGAGATAAACTACAGTTATCATTTGAGATTAATAAGTCGAGTGTTCTGTTGCTTATATTAGGTATTTTATTATATTGTTCTGCGTTCAATTCAGAAATAAAATTAAATAAAGACTGACTGACAGATGAACCCTCTACACAGCCCAAGTCAACAGTGCTACTAAGTGACCAATTAATATTAGGTAAATTAAAATCACCCATTGTATAAAAAAATTGTGTGGAAGGACTATTTAGCACTATAGACAGCACATCAAAGTATGAATTATAAATATCTACAGGTGTTCTAGGGGGTATGTATACAGCGCTTATAATATGGCGTTTAGAACGGTCGCTGCTGGGTATCTGTATGAGCAAGTGTTCAATGTGGGCGTTTAATTCAGTACACGTAAGGTTTATTAACGTCGGGTGAAGTGTTCGCAAGACAGCAACAAGAACACCACCGCCCTCCCGTTTATCGGTGGCCA